CGGCTTTGATGACTTTGCACTTGCTAATGAGCACAAATGACTAAAACACAATGAGTTTGTCTCCCACAGCCTCTCTGCCAAGTTGCGATGTAATAACGTGGCTGTCAAACCCTCACCACTTCGTGGGATTGTGTTAAGAAACTAGTCCAAGTATATTACACAAATCATGTGTAATCTTGCAGAAGAAGCAGCCCTAACTTTCCCATTTGTTTTGTTTTGTTTTCAGCAGCAGTTTCAAAAAAAAAAAAAAACAAAAACAACACTGCAGCATGGCCTGCCCCTGCAGTATTCTTTTATTCTTCAATCTCTTGCCATAGATGCGATCTGTACACTGCCTAATTTTTTTTATCATTTCCTTGGATATCTACCAGCTATGATTGTCATGATTAAATCAGTATTAACTTAATTACAAAGGGCTTTACTCAAGATAAACAGCAAAGAAGTGATCCAGAACAGTGAGAACTGCACTGCTGAGTGAGAGCGTCTGGCAAAGGCCTTTCAGATCCTCCAAGCCATCTTTTTTTCCTCACATAAGTTTTTGTTTTGCTTTGCTTTTTAAACCAGATGTGTTGTTTTTGTCAAATCCCAGAAATTAGATCAGTCTGTCACCTCTGAGTCTGACCCCTGAGCCTTGTCAATGCCTTTGGCCATGTCCACTGCTGTCAGAAGCTACATTCTCAATTTCACTCCAAAGATGGTGCCATGAGTCAGGCACTGAGGCTTTCTAGAGTTTCCTCCTCACAGTGTCATGAACAAAGGACAGCTGGATTTCCTGCCCTTCCCACATTTATCTCCTGCTGCAAGGTATTTCCATTTTGCAGGATGAACACATGGTCATTCAAATAATTATAATGGAGGGAACTATTGCATCTTTGCTTGCCTCTCTTTTGACCATGCAAAAATTTACTTATAATTTAGACACTGAATCTGTCCCAGGTGAATTCTGCAGCAGAGCTCTCACAGATATTACTATGATTATCAGCCCTTTTCTAATTAAGATAGTGTTCATGTATTGCTGATAAAAGAGATGACAATCTAGCTTTTTTAAAAGTCTTCAAAAAATCTCAAATATTTTTGAGAATATTTTTGAGCATACAAAATATACCTAATCACATATGAGGAGGCAGCAAGGAAACAATTTGGGATTTCAAGTGAAAAGCTGAGAGTTTAACACAAATTATAGAAGATTTGCTTAAAAGTTTAGGACCTAAATGAAGCTTTTAAGAGATTGTGGACTATATATTCAGCTGTTTGATACACAGTTTGTGGGTAACTATTATCTATTGGCCAGGGACAAACCTGGCAGAATTGCCATCAGGTGTGCAAATGTTCTGGTTTTCCTCAAAGCCTTGCCTTCTCAATAGACTCCTTTAGCATTCTCCTGAATATTATCGCAAGAATAGGAGACATGGAATGCAGTATAAAATTCAGTCCTCTGAGATTCTTTTTCTGCCACCTGTGATAAAAAAAACAAACTCCCAGATAATGAATGTTTCTACACTTTTTGCACGTGTGTTCAGAAATTTCTCTTGCTTTCCAGGAGGAGAAAAAGCTGCTATTACACTCCTTCTCACTTTCAAGGGCAGAAATAGGGCCCTGTTTATGATGTGACATACACCACAGAATCATGGAATGGTTTGGATTGAAAGGCACCTTCAATATCTTCTAGTCCCTCCTCCCCCTGCCATGGGCAGGGACACTTTTCACTAGACCAGGTTGCTCAAAGCCTCATCCAGCATGGCCTTGAACCCTTCCAGGGATGGGCCACTGGCATTTCCATAGAAGAAAGGTCAGGGTGAACTAACTGATACATTCTGGTGGCAATATCTCATATGCTAATTTCTTGTATGCCAGTTCTTATATGATATTCCTCAGGTTTTGGTTGGGTTTTCCTTTTTTTTTGTATTTATTTTGTAAATTTTTCCTAACTATTCAATATTTTCTCCAGGTGATTGAAAATAGCTTAATTAGGCTTGTGTCCTTTCTGTTCATTGTTTTTTTTCTTCATTTTGTTGAGTGAGACTATCACAGTCTCCTCTGCTGCTTTTTGGCCTCACACAGGGTAGTCGAACGCACTACAACAAGTGTGCTCCTCTGAGGGAGTTAGACCTACCCTCATCTGTGAAGGACCTGAAAAATCCTGTCTCAGACTATGTATAGGGAGTGAAAAGTGTTTTAAAGCATGAAGATTTTGTGATGCAGAGCCAAATTTACGGGGTGCAAACCAGTTACTTGTCCATTGGCTTCTGACAGAAGTCAGAAAGTTAAAGCTCAAATACAGACAGGAAAGATCTTCTTGTGAAGGAAAGGATGATGGATTTGCTGATATACACCTTATATCCTTTCTGACTGACAAAAACGTCATAAAATTCGTCAGAACAGATGCAAGGTCCCTAACTTGGGACAGAAGAAGCCCCTGCAGCAGTGCAAACTGGAGATTGCCTGGGAGGGCAGAGCAGGACCTGAGGTGGAGAACCTGCAGAAGATGAGTCAGCAGTGCGCCCTTGAGGCAAGGAAAGCTAAAACACACCAGGCTGCCTCAGCAGAGAGCAGCCAAGAGCTGCTCCCTTCCACTGAGGCCACCTTTGGGTGCTCTGTCGTGCCCACTCTTGGGATTCCCAGCAAAAGGCATAAACGTGTCAGACCAAGCCCAGTGGAGGAGCACCAAGGCTGTGGGACACAATGTGCAAGGAAGGCTCAGGAAATCGAGGTTGCCAGCCTGGAGAAGGAAAGACTGGGGGTGGAGAGGACTCTGAATATGACTCTGGTCTTCAGCTGCTTAAAGGACAAGAGGGAGTCAGACTTGTCTCAGAGACATGCAGCCAAAGGGCAATAAGCAATGCCCCCAGCTTGCATCCAGGGAAATTTTCAGCATGGATAAGAAGAAAAAAAATTATGGTAAGAGTGGTTAAACCCAGCTAGAGAGGTGGGGGAATCTCCACCCTCAGATACTTTCAAAACCTGATGAGGCAAGGCCATGAATAACCTCATCTGGCTTTTAAATCAGCCTTGTCAGGAGCAAAGGGTGGGACTGGATGACCTTCAGGGGTCCTTTCCAATCTAAATTATTCTGCGATTCTATAAATAAGGTGGAGGTTGCAAGAAAAGGGAGCTAAATCAGATTGAGGAGGGGCATGAGTCTTTCCTGTGTTGAGAGGAGAGAACAAGGCTGCAGGCTGTTGCTACTGCTGACCTCTTTAAGAGCTGGGTGATTTTCAATCACTCCTGGATGCAGTGGAGCGTGTGTTCCTGGCACAGCACTTGCATTGAGACATTCCCGAGTTTCTCTAAGCAGTGGCCTTATCTGGGTGGGGTGCTGTCACTCAGGCATTTTTTCCTTCAATTTTGCCTCACCCCTTGCCATTACAGTGTGTTAAACAGAGGCTGTTAAAAGGACTCACCAAACTTCCACACTCCAGGAACAGGAATGTGATTTTTGCAATAATATTGTTTAATATAATTTCTAGGGAAATAATTTCTGACTTTGAGGAAAGAAGTGTTGCTTTAGTAAAATGACCAATGACACACAAATCTCACTTCTAACCTCAATTAGAACACTGGTCAGCAAGAAGAAACAAATAGACTTGCATTGAAAGTATTTTCCTCTCTTTCTATTAGCTAAGAATGATTTTAATTATTCAGATGACTTCAGGAAATCAAAGGTTATAGTATCAGTATTTTATGTGTTGGGTAGTTAAAATGGTGGAATGTATACTCTAATTTCCAATTTAAAAAAAAAAAAAGTTCTCACACATGCCTTAGAAAAGCTTTATTCCTTCATCAGCCACTCATCCCACACATACAACCCCACATATGTCTATTGACTCAAAAAGTTGTATACTAATTTTTTAAAAAAATTAGTTTGATTTTCGGACTAGTAAGTTGGAGACAGCAATAATTCTCCTTTGCTAATATCCACCCAAAACACTAATCAAGCTGCCAAAAAAAAGTGTTGGAGTTTGGATTTTCTTGCTGTAAGCAAGGGCATGTAAAACAATCAGCAACCTTGCACATGCAAGCAATTCTAATAATGTGATTTCTCTTGTGTTTGAGTTGTTCTCTGTTGATGTTTCATAGGATTAGGGCCTATGAGAAGAGTTACAACACATGGTAACAGTAATAAGAAAAAGTCATTATGCATAAATTCAATAGATTTTTTTTCCTACATGTTTCATGAGCAGTGTGTCAGTCCATTCTTTCAAGATTACAATTTTTTTGCCTTTCAAAGATGCTCCTAATTTTTATTTCTCAATCATTTTGTGTTATTGTCACATTTCCTTATATTCAGAATTTGACATTGACATGTCACAGTTAGTAATTTTCACTTCTAGGCAAAATGACAAAAGAAACATCTATGCTATGAAGTTGCCATCAGGCCTGAGAACAGGCTCGGGATTGGAAACTCCATTTTCCTGGTCCTCATTCAGAATTCCATCCCATTGCCTTTTTGCCCAGGTGCAGCTCCAACTCCAAACCCCCATACTGTGCTCATGATGAACCAGACTCAAGAAATCTTCTAGGGTCTGTAATATCACACCTGATCTGTTCAGCGTGTGGGAAGGGAAGCTCAGCTCACATCCCAGTGTAAGTGTGATCCACCTTTTCCTCAGCACACACATCTGGAGCCAAGCCTGGTGTGACCATGGGTGTGCGCTGCACAGATGACTGACAAGCTCAGTCTTAGGCTCAAGGAAAGTGAAAATAGCCTCAAGATGGTCCAAATCTCACACATGACTCTGAAATGTGCCCTCTGTTTAGCAGATGACCATTTAATGACCTTCATTAAAATATTTTATACTCAATCAGTTTTGTTTTCAGCTTGATTTTGGGTCTAACTCTGTCTAACTAGTCCTTATATATAGTGAAATGCCAATTCTCTAAAACACACTAAGGTGAGCACTTTCAGATGGAAAATTGTCTTATTCAATTTCAAGGGGACCCAACTTTAGTAACATTTTTAGCAATTAAACCAGGGATCTCAAAAGGCATGCAAAAGTTACCTGAGATTAGATGTGGAAAGAAAGGGCTGATGATGGTAGCTCACATACCCCTAGCTCTTGTCCAAGTAGTCCAACAAATCACAAAGATTTTAGTACATGCTGCCACATCCCAGAACTTTTACAATGCATGGCAAAACTCCCAGTGATTTCAATAGGAGTAGGCTTTTACGCAAAGTTGGCAAGCTTGGGGAAAAAATAAAGCAAAAGTATTTTTAAATCTTCATGTTAGAACAACAACAAAAAAAAAGCATCTTAGAGGGTCTATATCAAAAGTGAAAACTGAGGCTGGAACTTAACTCCAGCTTCATGCATACTTCTAACCTTTATGCCAGTATACTGACCAGTTTCTTTAAATACAATAGAAACTCTGTCACTTTGAAGATAAGCCCTCACAGTTAGCTTAAAACAATAATTCAGCACTTTCTTTCCTGTTTCTAGATTTATTTTAAGTATTAGTATAAAATGTCAGAGTCTGATAGCAGCCAGATCAGTTTGTATAAAAAAATTGACTGCCTGTTTGTAGTATATTACAGGCTATATTTGACACAGGAAAGCACTTAATCATGAATGCTATCAGCACACCACACCCATCTTTGTAAGTGCCTTATAAGCTAGATTTATCACCGTGAACTCGGACTGGATAGAGACAAGTAATAACGAATAATGGAACCCCCCTCTGCAGAGGTAGGGTTAAAGGCGTATTAGCCACAAGATGACCATCAGACTACAGTTTGGAGGCTGTGCTAGAATCTATCAATGTCACAGAGGCATCAGGAGAAACTTTGGATTGATGTCCAGAGCATTATTTCCACTGGAGTCATCAGGCTCAGATAAGCAGATAAAAGTGAGAATCTGCCTCAAATACATGATCACGCAGATTTTGCCCATTTGGGTATTTTAAATCTCTCAGCTCATTGTGTTTGCACTGCAGAACTGATCATCCTTAAAAATTTTGAATTAAAACCAGAAACACCTTTGCCATGTGTTAAATTTGATTTTATTTTACTTGCCTTTGTGTCTCTATTGTAGATTTTGAGCTAAAATATGCCACTTCTTGGATGTGTGGACTTCGGAAAGATGCTGAAAAATGTACATGGTATGGAGGAGTGAGGACCTTTCTTCTCTGTTGGCTCATGCAGAGAATACTGCTCCCCTCCAGAGAGGCTGTCCCTGTAGCTGCCCACTCTGGGTTCTGTCACTCCGCAAAGCTTCTTTGCCTGTCACTCTGCAAAGCTTTTCCAAGCCCACATATGGGGTCACCAGTGGAGAGGGAGCTGAGCCAGGGAGGCCAAACACACTTCAGCCATTCCCCCAGCTCACTTCTGCCCTTTTGGTGTCCCCAGCTCCTAACAGCGGCACTTCCCAGAGAAGGGAAAGATCTGGCTGGCTGTAGGGACTGCCTCTCCCTTGTGCTGCCTGTGACCCCCTGCCTACCCCCTGCAGCCACTATGCCCCACACCAGCCAGCCCAGAGTGCAGCAGGAGGTCCATGGGGCTGGGGCTGGACCAGAGATGTCCTTCTCTCCTTTTGACCAAGAAATCAAAATCTTTGCTAGCAAAACAAGCAAAAAGTGCTTCCTGAAGCCCTCAGTATTTGCAAAATCCGGCTGGAGAGCAAGATGTGACAGTCACTGGAGGATGTGTTGTGGCATTCACATTTTAATACGCAGTCACTACTAAATATAGCCAAAAAGAAGCCCCATTGCCTGTTAATGCCATTTGCTCTCAACAGCCCAGTTAGGATACAGTTTTATAATCTGAGTCCTTACATATTGTCTTGATTAAACAAGAGGAATTTTGGCTGGGGTTTACTAACATATTAGTTAAACCTAGCTCAATCTCTTTTTGTTATACAGGGAAAGAAAGACTTTTGCCTTCCATATCCTCTCAATTTAAACAATACTCACTGGAGTAGTGCTAAACCCTCAAATGTGCTACAAGTTAATGCATCTATGGACTGTTAATAATTTATGAATCTCCTGAACAGAGAAGGTACTGAAGTTACTGATGTGTGTGCTTGCATCTATTTCAGCAGTTCAAGAGAAATATTCATAAACATTCATAACAATATTACTTAGGTAGAGCACTATTCGTGTAACAACCTGGAAAAAACACTCTGGAGTTTCCAAGGGTTGGTTTTCTACCTCATCCAACAGATGCCACCTCCTTCAACAGATGGTGCCCAGGTGCAGTGGTGAGGGATTTTTCCACGGAGACTCAGAGGGCAGCATGCCAACTGCTGTGCTGAATCACCAACACTTCCCAAAGCGCCCATGAGATCCCAGGTGGCCCAGCCTTGCCAGCCTGAGATGAGGTAATATGGCTGCAAATGAAATAGAGACAAAAACCATTAAGTTGAATTTAAAGAGATATGGCAGAGTGACATACTCTGGTTTTCAATAGATAAAGATAATTTTCATCCAGTGACCATGCAGAACACACACTCATTCACTGAATAACTTCTTTTTGGATGCTGCTAATATTTTTTTAAATTAAATTATTAGTCCCATAAGATAGGTATTCAACTGCATAATGCTGTACCTGAAAGAAGTAATTGGGTACACCCATTGAAAACTTAAAGCACTGAAAAACAAGATGACACTAGGAAGTGTGTCCTTTACTTCATCACTCTAGCCCTAGCTTTTTAGTTGAATCTGCCAGCCAGCACTCTAGACTTCCAAATTATTCATTATAGCTAGTGACCCACAGTTACCAGATCTAAGGTCAAAACAATGTACAAGAAAGAAAAGATCTATTAATGAGATACCATTCAGAGCCTTAAAATTACATGAGGCATTAAATTAGCAAAGGAAAATCAGGATTAGGAAGATGTATAGAGCAATCAAATCCCAAATCAGCTCATTTCAGTTAGGTGAGACTAGCAAGTAGATTCAGAAAGGGCTACTGAATTTCTGCATTCTAAATCCTGAAAAGTATCATGGTTAAAATGGAAATAATCTCTTAGGAAGCTCAAACAGATGTTAAATACAAGGATTATAAAATCACAGAACCACAGAATGATTTGGGTTGGGAGGGACCCTAAAGGTCACGTCTTTCCAGCCCTTCTGCCATTGATATCTTCCACTAGACCAAATCACTCAGAGCTCCATCCAACCTGGCCATGAACCCTTCAAGGAACAGGATATCCACAACTGCTCTGGGCCACCTGTCCCAGTGCCTCACCACACTCACAGCAAAGAATTTCTTTCCAATATAATTTAAACCTATGCTCTTTCAGTTTGAAAACATTGCCCCTTTTCCTGTCAGTAAATGCTCTTGTAAAAAGCCTTTCTGTTTATATCTTTCTTGTAGGTTTCCTTTAGGTACTGGAAGCTTACAAGTTGGAGGGTTCCATGACAGACTTCAACCTTCTAGTAATCTGTGAGTTTCCTCAAAATACTGTTTAATAAAAGAATTAATGTAAGATGCATTATACTTTAAAGTAGATGAAAACAATATGCAGAAAAATAACAGAATATAAAGGCATGGAAAAGTTGAGTGTGGAAAAGCTCAAATTTGCTTCCAAACTAATGGCAATTGAATGGATATCAAATTAAAGGGCAAAGACCTATATGTTTCATACAGGTAGCACAAGAAAAAAGTATTAATCAATCTTAGCTTATTAAATTGCTGAGCCAGCTGTTCCCTCATGGATTCCTATGCCTGCCATCCTGCCTGTGAGCTGCTCTTCAGGATTCCCTGGACAGATTTATCCTTATGGATACTGCTGTGACCTACAATCAAAGACACAGGTACAGAAACAGAAAATAAATATTATGTCTAATAATCACTTCTAAAGCTACATTTTTTTTTTTTATTTGAAGTGAGCTTGCATCACCTATTTGTCTATTCTCTTTTGGTGTACAAAATGGATCAAATGGAAAAATGCCTCTATTTTTGTTACGGCTTTGAAGTTCTCTGGAGAAACAGATTTCAGCTGGAAAGAGGTTTTACAACACCAATGCTGGGGAAACCAGGGCCCTGAAGTGAAGACCTAAGAAGTTCTGAATCTATGTTTGCATGCTGCTGTTCTTATCTACCATGTCCTTGCCAGACAACATTGCAAAGACCCCTGCCCCAAGCACTTCGGGCACAATTCAAGGAGTGAAGCAATCGTGAAGGCCCTGAAGGGGGAACAAAAGGGTGTCAGAAGATATCCCCATGGAACAGGCCCTGAGCCTGGCTCCAAAACCCACTATGAGCCAAATCCATGTCCCTACCTCAATGCTGATGCTCTGTTGCCCTGCTCAGTGCCACAGACTCTGGTGCTCACTCCAGACTGTGACACACTGCGTGGGCTGCCCCAAGGTGTGCCCAAGGAATCTGTTCTTTGTGTGAAGGTGCCTACTACCCACAACAAGACTCCTTGCTTCTGTAGCTCTGGTACACACACTTTACCCAGCCAACATTTTAAACTCTCCCAGCAGGAGCAATGCACTGAGCTGCAGGTGAAGGCCATGATCACTCAGCTGATTGCTCTCAGCAGCCCACAGCTGCAAGAAGGAAAATGCTGGAAGAGTTTCCTCTCCAAAGTCACACCTCTAGGCTTCCTTCCCCTTGGAAACCTGGAGGCGGTGGCTGCTGCTCATCAGATCACACATATCTTCCACACTGCCTTCTCATGGAAACAGCCTGTGCTCTAGGGAACAAACATACCCACCGGCATCTCCACAGAGGCCCAACAAGGAGAGCTGGCTGGATGCACGCTGCACTCTGCAGCTGTGACCTGTCTGGGCTGGGGGACAGCGGTTTTGGGGTTTCAGTGCACAGCTCCTTTCAGCCTTTCCCTTGTGCTGGCCTGTTCACCCAGCCCTGTGCTCAGCACTGCAGCCATTAGTGGGAGCATTAGAGGTGCCAACACTCCCAGCCTCTTTTTCTCTAATAAGGACCTGCAGCTGGATGTGGTGCTTGGGGCCATGCTTTTGCTGGAGCTGGATAAATACAGAGAAAATGGGAGATGGTGTCTAACCCCACAAAGCAGTGATGTGCCTCACAGAAGGTTTGGGCATTGTGGTGGCAGCCTCAATGCAGAAGAAACACTCTCCACATAGTGGT